TGTAAAGGTCACAGAAACATTCAGATGTTTAAAATGCATAAATTAATATGATAGGGGTTAATTCTACCTGATGTGAAAGGGAGAATGAAAGGTCCTCGGCTTCTTCCAGTAAACTCCTGCAAACACAGAAACTCTCATGTAAAGAACCCTGCAGCAGTCTTCTTAAACAGTATTTATCTGTAATATAGGCATAATGTGTTTTACCTGGACTGCGATGAGCTCTGAGCTGATTGTTGAGCAATCGCCGTGGGGTTAAACATGGACAGCAACTCTATTCAAACCACAAAGACATTACAGTGAAGACTGTGGTAGGCGTTAACACACAATAATAATGTACAGACAATGTACATCATGACATAGATGATAACTGATGATAAAAAGAAAGCTTGCTTTCTTTTATGTTCATGTGAAATCAGGGTCACAAATCAATGTTTATGGCCCCTATCTTATCCTTACAGATAAAGGAAACTATATGTTTATTAACCCTGACCTTGAACTGAACTATTAACTGCAAAAACTTTCCAATACATAATCACAAAGGCCTTAATGATTTGATAGGCATTTTTAAAAAAAGCTTTAATCCACTTGAAGTTGGCAGTGAAAGCTGAAATGATAAAGCAGGTTTATAGTGGTTAACTGAAACAAGATTAATGGTCAAGTTCTAGGCCTGATCACATAATAGGAGATTTAAATAATATAATAATAATTAGTTGGGAAATTATTAACTTTGAAACCATGAAACCGAAATTCAGTCATAAAGTAACGAAGAATTTTGGGAAAACAGTTTTGTGATTACAAATACTACATGTAAAAGTAATTTCAAAGGTTAACAGTTGATAACCAATGTGATTATTTATATTAGATTGCATTGTACATTTTTAATTTTATACATTCATCTCTTGATATTTGAAAATAATACAACTGGCTGTAAATGAGACTCACCAGCTAGTCTACTGATAATTCTGGAGGCTTCATCCCTAAAAATGAAGACATACACATTGTATAAGGCGGTGGTTGTGTTCAGTTAGGTTTACTTTTAAAGCCGCAGTACGTGCTGACCCATTCAGTGGTGTTCATTCTTCAGTATTACTTACACAGATTTGTGCTTTTTTTTTTTTTTTTTTTTTTTTTTTGCAATATACCTGTTTGAATCTGGTATTCCCAAGGTATAAACAGTGGCGATATCAGTAGGTGTCAGAGCATGAACTGGTGTTGGAAAAGCAAGGAAATGAAATGTCAGCAATCTCATAATGCAACACTAGAAAATATATTTAAAAGCAGACCTATTATAGAAGGACGAAAGTAGTGAATAAGCGCCTTCAGGCAACTGTTGTTGTGATTTGATGCTATAGAAATAAAATTGAATTTTAACTCAGTGCAGTCACTGATTATGTCTGCAGGGAGCATTACCTGAAGAAGATGGAGACAAGTGCGGTGGTAATGGTGAGCAAAGTATGGACATGTACATTTCTGCCTGAATCACACAAAAAAATCTGTACATTAGTACATTACAAGAGCAATATACAGATGATAGTATAAAATATGAATGTGCAGACAAAAAGGTGTGATAACTGGCAAAAAGTACCTCTTCTGTTTTTACTTTTGTCTGGTCGCCACCTCCAACGCCATCTAGAAGGGACGTAAGTCAAAATTAACACTTTTAAATTTCTAAAATACTGAAAATAAACCAACCCCATGAAATTAGTCAGCAGAAGTTAGGCAGTTTATAAAAGTTGAAAATCTTAAATTAAAAAGAGTTAATTAGGTTAAAAAATATTAGCAGGGAACAATAAAAAAGTTGCATTTTTCTTATTTTAATTTTGTAAAACTCTTTGAGATTTTTAGTGAATAATCAACTTTGCGCACTCCAAATGTAAGCCAGGTGGAGAGATGACTGATTGGCAAAAAAAACCTCATTATATTTATTTGAGTTCTACTTCATTTAAAACAGAAAGATAAAGTATTAGCTTTGCTGGGATATACTCTCTCTGAGTGCCCTCATAGATGCTTCTCAGATTTTAAAATTGCACCTTAACAAGATTTCTGTGTAATTTACTACATTTGCATTTTTAACCCAAAGTTCCTGAACATTTATATCTAACATTTTATACTCAGTATATAAAGTGTACATCAGCAAACATTAGATGATTCTAGTATAAAACACAGCTTCAATACATGGCACTCTGTAAAGGAAACAATGCTGTCAAACTGGTCAAATTAGGTAAATCATGCATCAGCCAGCAGTGACCGCTCAGTCAAAAGATCATTCTGATTTCAGCTCATGCTGTGCCTTCTTGCCCTTAAAATTCGCTACATAACTGAGCACATTAAAGTAGTCCAAACTGTTCAGTACTTACCTGAAAATGTCATGCATAATCCAACAAGGATAGCCACAATCAGGAGCGCAGCTCGAGCCATGATGTGGTCAGAGTGTTTTCCACACTGGGGAATTTGTGCAGTTCTTCCTTATTTACCTTTGAGACTCAGAGAACGAAACTCTCACTCGCTGTAAAAGTGCAGCATATCAATAAAGAGTGTGGAAAAGACCGGGATTCCAGAGAGAGCAAAGTTTTAAAAGGCAAAGAAGGGAGCCAGAGAGGAAACCCTGTCAAACAGAAAAGAAAAGAGTCCTCCTTGCTATGTTTGTCCTTTACACATCTGCTCTTATTCTCTTTTATAACCCCTTCTTATCAGTTTATCCAGATGACAATCGATCGCATCCCTTTCTCTATCTCTACAGCTATAATTGTGCTGTGTCACCTATTGGGACATATAAATCAAAGGACCATGAAATGAGTATCAGTTTTTGGACTTCTAAATCAGAGATTAAATACCTTTATATAACAATGACTGGCATATTAGTGAATCAACTGAATGAATAAAATCCATATGTCATGATTTTAGGTAATTTTTTGTGTGTAATTTGCTTATTTTAAACCAAATGACTATTCTGAAGTTAAAATTTTACCAGTTTCTGTTCCATTATGTCATGGAAGGGGTTTGTGGACACAATGGCACATCGTGATGATCACATTAGTGATTCACAGTAAAACTCACGTGGGTGTAAAGACACAACTAAGAAAATTATTTGCAGGTTTATAGTTTTCTAGCTTTCAGGGATGATTTCTGTGTATTTTAAATATGCTGCCCCGCAATTTATAGTTGGACTAATGCTTCACTTTGTCGGAAGGTGGTTCTTAACCAATAATGATGAATGGGAGTTCCTGGTGTTGCATGTGTTTCACCCAGGTTATATAATTTTATGCTAACAACCAGCAAGTTCGCTTTTGGAGATGTTTTGAGATATGATTAGATTGCTAAATACTTTATGAGTTGTGTCCTTTGAGATGGCTGTGCAGATAGACCCGACCCTTGGAATCAGTGCAGGATAATCCATCAAGATATCTTGATGTTTTCGAGTTGTCAGGAGTTTTTCATCAAGCAAAACATTTTAGGTTTATAATGTTATGACATGTTATATCAAAACAGGCATAAACAGCCAGGTGATAAATAAGGACAAACTGAATAACTAAGCAGAAAAAGATAAGAAACAGCTTCACTAGTGATTGGGACTTTTTTGATCTATGAAAAATGGAGCTAGTCCAGTTAACTGATATCTTACTTACACACACTACATATGTGTTACAACTGCTGATTTAAGGGTGTTGCTTTTTGGAGAGCCTGAAGGTGTATTGGGAAGAAGCTGAAAGAGCTAAGGTCTACAACTTCAACACAACTGCCTTCTCTTTTCATTTTCACCCAGTTCCCTCGCTGCTGCAGCTTCTCATATTCCATATCAGTGGAATATGGTAGCTATTGCAGAAAAGTGCAACAAAGAAGATGCCTAAGAAGTACAGCCTTGGAAAGACTCACAGCTTTGGCCAGCCACTTGAAGAGATACACCAGAGAGATTGAAGGCATGAGAATAAACCAGCTGTTCTCCACAGAATACTAAAAGAGCATATGGGAGAAGGACACAACCCAATACTCAGTGGATGGTGGATCTGAGAGCAGACCACAGCAACCACCCTGAGCAGGGTCCAGTAGCCATCACAGTGGCAGACATCCAAGAAAGGGTCTCCAGTATGAAGAGTTGGACAGCACCAGGTGCCGACGTGGTTCATGCCTACTGGCTGAAGAAGCTGACTGCACTCCATGAGCGTATGGTAGCACAAATGAACCAGCTGCTGGTTGACAAGAGACACCCGGAATGGCTAACTGAAGGCGGGACAGTCCTGATCCTCAAGGACCCCCAGTACGGTCCGGTCCCATCCAAATACCGGCCAATAACCTGCCTCAGTACTACATAGAAGCTCCTGTTGGCTAAAATGAACAGGCACATGGGTCAATACGTAAGCAGGGCACAGAAAGGATTTGTCAAGAAAACCAGAGGCGCAAAACCTAGTAGTCAGCCAAGACTGCAAGACTAGGCTGACCAACCTGTGCACTGCCTGGATTGATTACAAGAAGGCCTATGACTCAATGCCCCACACCTGGATCCTGGAATGCCTACACCTATACAAGATCAACAGGACCCTAAGAGGCTTCATCAGGAACTGATGCACAATCCAGCACATAACAGCAGGGTGCAAGATGCAAGCAGGCAGGGCATACATTGAACACTATTACCAAGTGGCCGGCATAGTGTACAGAAACATCTGTGCCGAATATAGCCTGGAAGTCCCGAGGTCAAAATGGGAGACGCCCCCCAAGGGTGGTGGAGAATGGCCGAGCTAAGATCCTGTGGGACTTCCAGATACAGACGGACAAAATGGTAGTGCCTAACCAACCATATATATATGGTATATTCTTTTTTTTTTTTTGTTATATCCAGATATTATGTTTTCGTTTTTTTTAAATAAGCTTCAGCATTATTTTTTAACGATTTTAATGGGAGCATATTTTTCAGAAGTTGAGGATAGATATTACATGCTGACACCTGGCGGAAAACCCGTATGTCGCTGCTGCAGACGGAGCTACGTCACAAACCGGATGTTGATACTAGTTTGGAGCTCAGCTCAGAGGACAGGAACAGCTGAAAAAGAAAAACAAAGCCACGACGACGACGACGGTATAAACAGCAGATGTGCGACTGAAATTTACTTTAAAAAGTCGGTGACACCATCGCTGGGCACAACATTTTATGTCACCAGACCGAATTTGAAAAGGTAGGCAGCCGTCATTTGGAGTTTAGTAGAATTATCTGTTTTGTGGTCGCTTGTTAACTCTGTTAGCTGAACGGCTAACCTGGCGTTAGCTTCCATTCACACGCTGGCTCGGTGCATTTTTACGAAACCAGTCGGTTAGGTTATCTAAAATCCCAATGAAAATCCTCTGAAGTATTCTCTTTAGGTAGCTGAGAAAATCCCTGCTTCGTTTGTTTTCCATTATTCATAATTGCATCGACACCATGCAAAGCCCAGCTGCCATCTACAGTCAGTATTACTCATAACAAGGCATCCAGGAACAAGAAGTACTTCTGTGGTTGTAACGACTAAAATGTTGAAACAGGGAGAAACTGTGCCAAGGCGACTGGAGTGCTCTTTGTTAAGATTATTTACACCTTAGTTTCCACATGTTCCACTGACAAACAAACAAAAGAAACCAAATTTTATACAAAATAATGGGAATTGATGAGCATTTTTCAGAGGGCTGGGATGATGTGGCACTGATCCCTGTTCTTACAAAGCCTGACCTGAGATGAGAATGGAAAAGACGAATGAAAAATTAATGAAATGAAAATGTTTTTATCCTATTATAGGATTTTTTTTAAAAACATAGACGGATATATTAAGCTTCTGTAAGCAGTTCTATAAAGGACAGTATTTTTGATAATAAATTAGAAAAATGGGAAAAGGCAGCTGTTTGTAATCAAAGTAACAATAAGCAAGTTGAAAAAGCCATTTGATTCTATTTTTTGTGGCTTTTTGTCTCTTTGCTCCTTCTTTTAGTTTATCTCGATTATTATTATTAAGGATTATATTTGTGTTTTAAGGGAACTGAGAAAACAGTAATTTTTCTCTGTATCACTAGAAACATTCATGTTTTTACTGATACTCTTTCAGTGGCTGTGTTATCAATTTTACCAAAGTATTGTATTATGTGTACAATTCAAAACATAGTTTTGTGCATTCATCTTCCCCAGTCCATATAGAGAGAACGCATAATAGATTTTTGAGATAATAACAGAGACTGTTTTTTTTGTTTGTTTGTTTTTCCATAATCATGCCTAAATTATGCTTATGCCTTAATATCTCGGAGAACAACCCCCTTTTTTATTGGGTACAATTATTTTGGATATTTCAAGCGTCTTTCTTTCTTTCTTAACTTGTAAAACAGCTATGATAAGTGAGTGACTGAGCTCAGATAGTTTTCCACATATTAAAATTTTAAAATGGTTCCTAAAAAACAAATCTTAAAAAAACTCAAATCTTTAAAATACCCAAGTTTTAATGTATTTATTTTTATTTGATGAACAGAGATTGAACAACTCCTTTATATATGTGTATTCAACTTGTATTGTTAATGATTGATTAACAAACAATTGTGTGTTGTGGAACATGCCAGAAAAAAGTTTGAGACTGATATGCATTATTACTTTGGCCAGCTCAAGGGTATTATTTTATAAGGGGTCACTTTCTTCATACTGTTTACAACAGTCTTAGAATACATAGCGTACTATTTAATTTTCTCATGTTTTAGCCTTAATTTAGTCAATCCCGGTGATCAGACAATGGGGCGCATCTTCTTGGACCACATCGGCGGAACACGTCTCTTCTCTTGTGCCAACTGTGACACAATCCTGACTAATAGGTCTGAGCTAATCTCCACACGATTCACAGGAGCCACAGGCAGAGCTTTCCTCTTCAATAAGGTACAGTGAAATTAGCCATGAACACACCATCTGTGACATGTTTCCCTAAACCAAATAAAATACAGGCATTCATTAGATATACTTTAACTTAAACTCCTCCCTATAGGTGGTGAACCTCCAGTACAGTGAGGTGCAGGACAGAGTGATGCTCACCGGCAGACACATGGTGAGGGACGTCAGCTGCAAGAACTGCAACAGCAAGCTGGGTTGGATCTATGAGTTTGCTACTGAGGACAGTCAGCGGTACAAGGAGGGCCGAGTCATCCTGGAGAGGGCACTGGTTAGGGAGAGTGAGGGCTTTGAAGAGCATGTCCCCTCAGATAACTCCTGAGTCCTTGAAGTGGTATTAGGTTGAGTGGGAAGGCTCAGTCCTGTGCCCTCCTTTCCTTCTCCTTTGCCCCCTTTGCCTCTGTGCTGCACACCACCACCTGCAGACTTAGTGGTCAGTGAAGTTCTGGCTTCACCCTCCCACACCCCTTCTCTCTCTGGCCAATGATCTTAGATCTTTGCTGACTAAAAGATTGGTGTGCTTGATCTATTCTTGCTGAATAGACTTCCCCAAAATATCTTTTGATTGATGAATCACAGGGCAGTCAATTGAAACAGCTGGAAATGCTCTTAGAGAGTTCGCTAAAGCATTTAAGCACTGTCTCACACACAGTTGTCATCACAGATCCACAAGGCATGTGCCACACTTTCATGGTAATTAAAATACATGCATGATAATACACAGATCAGTCACATTTTAAAGAATATTTGCTAGCTTTTTTATTTGTTTGTGTAACAGGAGCTAGTGGAGCTTAGTATGATCATTATCCAAGCATGGGCAAAGCGACCAGCCAGTGCTCCATACCGCTGTTAAATGAGCCAAACATACTGGTTTAGTGGTATTTGTGTTTCCGTATTGTGAATGTTGACCCAATGTATCTGTCACTGGTTGCACTGAAAGCATTCAATATCATGATAATTGATTATGTGTCAGTTACCTTTTCTTCGCTTGCAGTGTAGTGGATGTAATTGTGTTCTCATCCCACTGATACAGTGAGGACTGCACAGATTGATGTCATATTTAAGTATTCATTGTTGTGCCTGAACAGTAGTTTTCTTTAGATTAGGCTCATTATTTTAATGACATGACGTATTTCAGATGAACAGAGTAGACAACCTGTTTACTTCAGTTCCACCTGTGTTTAGCTTACCATGGATTCTGTGCCTCTGCGTGTGAAGAGCAGCATGCCACTTTAGTGACTTGTCAGGAGCATGTTCCTTTCAGCCGTTCGTCTTCAGTGTGACACAGTGCGTCTGAAAAATGACGGAGACATTCTCTGACTGCGCGGCAGCTTAAAGGACAGGATTTTTAGAGAATAGGTCATATTTGAAAGTCGCTCAGTGATTGTGTGGGACAAGTGTACAGGTTTTGAAGGAATAACTAAAAACACAATGCAGTGGGCATTCATCAAACAGCATTTTCTTGAATCTAAAAATATGTTCAGTACTGTATTTGACCATCCTACATGTATTTAAACCCTTAAACACATCAATGCAAATGCTGCTGAGCTACTTTCAGGTTTGTGACACATCCTCTTTATAATCCTAGGCTTGGGGCATGTTTGGTCATAAGATGAATCGCTTCTTAGAACACAAAGCCAGGCAAGCTTTGAGTATTTATCTTCAAAGTCAAGCCCTTGCTGTTGGAGTAGGCCAGAGCCTGCATTTTATATTGTCAAACTGTAAAATAAAAATAGATAATTTACTTGACATATGAGGGTAATTTGGGACTGGGTTGGAGCACAGCCACCCAGCCCTGATGTTACCTTATTTATGCTTTGGGCGTTACCAGAATGGTCCAGCCTTCACTAGTGACACTGTTAATGTTTTGCTTGTTTTTTGCAAGGTCATGCTTGACGGTGCAAGTTTTAATTTCCAGAAGACAAAAAAAAAATATCCAGGACACTGAAACCATTCATGTTCCAAAGTCAGTGCAGTGTACAGCTAGTGGCCACAATCGAATATCATCATTTTGTTGTTCACGTTCAGCATTTTATTGATAGCAATTGTTTTTACTTTATATTATCTGATTATTGTTTTATTGATCGATTATGTTTATGTTATGACATATTTTCTTGTTTGGGGGATTAATATGATACTTGTTTTCCTCTATGGTTATGGCTAGATTTTCTCTGATGTGATTTCTAAATAAAGATGTAGTACCTGGGTTTAAACCTTATGACAGTATTCACTGAATATTTTAATGTATTAATGCTCTTAATAGAAGGCAGGTGTGGTTGTAGTTGCTATCAATTGGCAAAACCTTCTTACGTTAACATTTCTGAAAATGAAAGACACATTGGGGCATGAAAATACCAGGATTTGGTACGTGCCATCATGAGTAAAACCTAAGCATTTCTCCGCTAGGTGGCAGCAGAATACAGAGAACCAGGTTAAAGATGTTTTCCTTGGTAGGGTGATGCTGAATCCCTTGCCTGCCTCTGACGTAAACCTGCTTGGCAAGATCTGTAGAGCTTCACTGCAGTCTGGCAAGACATATTAGAGATGTTATTCCCTGAAGCAGATAAAAACAAATAAGAGAACTCAAAAATGACATATATTTGATTAGATGTCCGACAGTTGAAAATATTTACTTAACCGTTAGAGAAAATGTCATTTAAAAAGGAAATCAAGAATGGACCACATCGAAACAAGTCCCATTTTAATCCCAGCTATTCACCACTCAGTATGAATCACCCACGATGTAAAATTTGACTGCATTTGCTTTATAAATAGGAAGTGACGACTAACTTCTGATCCACCCACTAATATTGCATCTCCGCTGTAGAGTTATTTATAGCTCAGCTCCTGTAGGAGGGCTTCTTTGTTGGTGTGTCTGTAATGGTCTGTGTCACTGTGGTGGAATCAACAACAGGTCTGCTTTTCTGCAGTCACTCCTGCAGGCACAATGCACTAAACCCAGCTCAAACAAATATTAATTAAGTTAGCTGAACACAATATACTCTTCTGGTCATGGCTATTTTCGTACCCATCGTAGTTGCTTGTTCTCCATTTTTTGATGGATGTGCGACGCTTTATGGTTTCCACAGCTATTTACACCCATTTAAAAGCTGGATAGAACCAGAGGTAAAAGTGATACTCCTAGCTCCAGAGAAGTCACGGTGCTACTTTATAATTCAGTAGTCTCTGACTTCGGCTGTGCCTATCCTCTGGATTGTCTGCTGCAGTCGTTATTGAAAAAGCTATCTGGCTAGATAAGGATAATTACACTGTCTTGATCCTATTAGCCTGCATGCAACTAGATAGTCAAAACGAGACAATCTTTATGTAAGATGGCTGTATTTCTATTTGTACAAGTGCTCTAGGGGAGAAATTTGGGATACTGAGTTTCCTGAAAACTTTGACCCCAGGTGCCTCCTACATATCCATCAAAGTACTGTTCTAATAAAAGAGTCCGACTTTTGGAAGCTAATCTAATTGAGAGAAAAAAAAAAGGTAGATGATAGCCTATGCGAATCATCCATCTTCCTTCCACCCACTGTCAAACCCATCAGGGCAATTTTGAAGTTATATTCAGATACAGACGAAGATACATTCAGATGGAGAGGTGGAAAAGCGAGGGGTGAGGGGGTGGGGCAAGAGAAAAAGTGGGTGGATAAATGCATCTGTAATTGTCCAATGACTCATCATCTGCGGACAGCTAATTTAGTATGTCCTCACTTTTTGTCTTTAATTCGACTGGATGTGTCTGCCCGCTCTCCCGTGCCCACAGGAGAGCAGAGATGTATAATATAGAAATAAACTTTTCTTTCCAGCTCTCTCTTCACACACACAAAAGGAGTGACATCATTCTGTCAGTGGGAGAAAATGGCATGCTTTCCACTGACATCACTCCACATACTGTTGCCAGGAGACAAGGGAGTCAACATTAGTTACTATGGCGACTGCACTTCACCTTCAAAGCTCCTGACCTTTTTGGTTGTCTATGGTAGACTAGAATGTGTGTGACATGTATATTTGTGACATGTATATGTGTGTCTGTGTGTGTCTGTGTGTGTGTGTTTTGTGTGTGTGCACAAAATACACGAGGCAGGATGGTCTTCCATCCTTAGTGTTGTGCAACATGAGCATTCAAGGTCTTGTTGAGTCATCCACTGCAATACAGTAGTTGTTACCGGACATGCAAGATTAAAGGACTGCAGTGGAAAAAAAATGCAATGAATGAAACTGCCGATCACATGACACTGGGGCATCAAAAGCTCCGTTACTACTTAAGTTGGAGTCAACATTTCCTAAACTTAAAAAAAAAAAAATGACGGGAGACATCAGTGAGTTGATACAGCATATTTATTTAGATATATATATCTCTTCATTTAAAAGACTGACTCATAACAGTGTCCACTGCGTTTACCTGAGGACAGTGATTTTTAAAGAGGTCCAGCATCGACAAGTAAATGTAAAAATGAGCAACACAAAACGGCACAGGTGAAAGAGACAGATTTCCAGCTGGTTTGGGAGTTTTAAGTGGTTTAAAAAAACAAAACATTTATATAGTACCATATTTGGTAAACAAACATGCTGATGATCGAGTTGTTAACAAAACTATATCACAGTGACTAGAAACAGCCCCTTTGACATAAACTCGAGGAGCTTCGGATTTGCATAAACCAAACAAAACAAAAAAAAGACCCCATTGTCGACTCTGTTGCGTGGCAGACAATTAGTACTTCAAAAGTGGATTGAAGTCGTCAGCTAGATCACACATTTCACAGTGTTACAGAAACTGCTGTAGACCTCCAAACACAAAATGCTTCTTTACTCACTCAAGTAAAAATGTAATTGAGTTTGAACAGAGAGCAAAGGCAAAGAGAACAAGAGGTGAAACATGCGGCTGAAGAACTGCTTCAATCTTCTTTCAATTTCACTCCTTTTTTGGCACAACTGGAGTCGCTTTCTCAGCTGTCATTTGCTAATTGGGTTTAGCCGGCGCATCAATGCCAGTCCTCTGGAGAGGGATACCAGCAGCGGTGGGCATTACAGGGCCTTTTTGGATTAGGTTGAGTTCAGGGCCAGTTTTCCACTCCAAGTCTGGTTCTCTGTGCCACCCTGCACATTGAGGGGTAACGTTGTCCCAACAGGACATTCTTCCACCCCAGCACCACACACATCCCGTCTCTACAAGGTGTCTCTTCATCCCCAGAAAGGGCACAAAGCCCATCTGCTTCTACAGTAAGCCAGACTTATCAGTCAGATCTTTAATTTTGATAATAATACAAGTGCTGCCTCAATATAGCTACAGGCAACCCTGCCACTGACATGTGGATCTACCGCTTCCTCACATGACAGACTACTTGCTTTTGATTGCTTTTTGTTTTTAAAGTTGACATTTGCTTTTCTCACTGCTGGGTTTACATGGAAAAGCTGCATTGTCATATTGACTTGAGCAATTGAAACATATACAGTGAAACCACCATATAGGCTAAGGATCAAGGGCTAAAAGGGTAATTATACCCACTAAAAGTAAACAGTTTTACTCATGTGCCTTAATAACTCTCTGGGAATTACATCTGTCCTTTTTTTCCCCCTTGCTGAACACTTCTAACAGAAGCTGATTGATTTAAACAATCCAGCTTATACTGCTAATAGGAGTATTAGCAGAAGTCAAATCATCATACATACACGTTCTGTACTATGGCTCTGCTCCATTCATGATTAAAAAAAATTATTACAGCATACAATAAAATACATTTCAAAAATATGAATATCTAACAAGTATGACAAATACCAACAGCAGTATTTTGTGACACAGGTCCATACCGAGGTCCCAAATAACAAACCATGACAAACACCTACTACATGAAACTGCTAAAAATGGACAGACGGCAAGCTAAATAACAGTGATTACACAAGAAAAGTCACAGAAAGGGCAAGTGATACATCATTTACGATGAATTCCCTAAACCCAACACAGTTTAATATGGTTAACATTCCTTCCCCCCTCCCCCCCCCCCCAGAAAGCTAAGCTCTTTCCACTGAAGCCATGCATACCATCGTGGGTGCACTTATTTTTGTCTTTCTAAGGCATGGAGCACTAGGTTCCACCATGGGATACTTTAGCTCACTGGACTGAACAAGTGTAGACAAATGAGTCCTCAGTCTTTGCTGAGTACAGGTGGTAACATGTCATTGTTCATTCGCAACTGTATTACCTCACTTCATTTTTCCATCTAGCAATTTATTGTTCTCACTGACGTCAGCAGACATCGACTTCCAGTATCGATGGCAGGCCATCTCCAGCATCTCAAGCCCTCCAAAGTGCTTATGTTGAGCTATGTACACTCCAACCATGATCAGGAAGTAAAGCCTGAAAGGAGCCCAGAGCCACAGGCCAGTGAAACACAGAGCAATGAAGCTGCTCCAATACAGCAGCGAGGCCGCTTTGATCAGAGTAACTCGCAGCTCTGACTTACAGGGTGGTACACGTGCAACGCCATCCCTGTCAAAGGCGCGGGGCTGTCCTGAGTAAAAGTCCCGCAACCGGACCTCCTTCTCGGCCCAGCGCTCCCGACACCAAGATTCTAAGTCAGAGGAAGAGGTGGGAAGTGCCGACACTGGATAGCGCCGGACATGGAAATGGATCTCACGTGGGAAATGGCCGGATACAAGGTGGCGTTCTGTCTGTGGGATGTTCTTAGGGTAGGCGACTGTAATGTCATGGACGGCATCCAAATTATCACCTAGGAAAAAAGTAAAAAATAAGTACAATTTAAAATGAATGGGAGAATAACACCACTTCCTATTTTAAAAGGATAAAAGCAAATTCATTAGAACTGTGAAAAACTCAACTTCAGATCCAGAACCACAAACAGTAAATCTTTTAGACATGAAGACAAGCCACTGCAGGGAGAATTATTATCTCTCTTACAAAACCACACTAGTTCACTGGCCCCGTTACTCAGACACCTCCAATTATCCAGTAACTCGCTGTTTTAAAACTACCGTCATCACTGATCTACAGTGCCCTTGTATACACAGGGGGAACAAAATAGATCACCAAAAGCACAGGATGACACCCGCAAGCGCCTGCTCTCACAGTAAAAATAGAGCTTAGAGGGGCACAGTGGATATGGACAGGGTGAACATGATCAGCATGAGTATGTCAGTCAGTGGCATAAAGAAAGGGAGATGAAAATTGGCTTAGTCTGATGATATCACAGT